GTTTGACTGTCCCTCTGGTATCTTTCGTCCCTCTTTTATAAAAGTTATTATGAAACTATCTATACTAAAAATGTCAAAGATCTGTTAGAGTACATGCAATCTAAGACTCTCTTTCATCTTGCAAAAGTATTAAAACATTTGATTTTTCTACACTTTACACAAGTATTCCACATTCCCAACTAAAAGACAAATTGGTCCTATTTTGTTTCATAAAAAATGGCCAACGTAATTACAATTATCTTGTCTTAGGGAGGGATAGATTGTACTTTGTAAAAAATAACTCTGATTCAAACACATTTTTTTTTCTGAAAGTGACATTATCAAGGTTCTTGATTTCTTGATAGACAATATATGTGTTTCGTTTGGAGGACGTGTTTTTCAACAAGCAATCGGAATTTCCATGGGAACAAACTTTGCTCCTCTTTTCCTGTATTCATATGAGGCTGAGTTCATGCGGGAGCTTCTTAAAGGTGTAATACCACCATTGATTTTCCAAATTAGTCTTTGTTAAATTTGCACTTTTCAAAAAAATTTTGCAGAATTTATCTTTGTTTCAAATAAAGAAATACTTGGCATGAGTAAAGTTTTATCCTGTCCAGTACCATAGAAAAAATTTCATATAACATTTCATTGCATATAAGAAAATAACCATCACTGGAAGTTAACCATTCAAATTTTCCCCCTTTTTTAACCTGTGTACAAGCTTTAGTAACCATGTAACCTCTAGTTTCCAAAATATTCTATAGAAACCCCAAATAAAAAAATAGTGGTGCTTTGAAAAACCCAAGATATATGTTTATGACCCAGAAATTTTTTACTGCAATGAAATGTAGGATCAATTACCTCCAACTGTCAAATGCAAGGGAATATTTTTTTTCGACCTATTTTCGTATGCAACCGGATGTGACGTACTATGATTTGGTGGTATTACACCTAAAGAGAAAAAACGAAGCTAGCATTATCCTTTAACTTCACTTTCCGCTATATAGATGATATCATCTCACTAAATAGTTCAATGTTCGGAGACTACGTTGAACGCATCTTCCACATCGAATTTGAAATAAAGGATACAACAGATACAGTTAAGTCTGCCTCATTTCTTGACTTTCATTCAGATATTGACAATGAGAGTCGATTGAGAACAAAACTTAACGACAAATGAGATGATTTCAGCTTCTCAATTGTTAACTTTTCATTTCTATGTATCAATATTCCAGCAGCGCCTGTATATGAAGTATATATCTCCCAGTTGATATGATATATAAGGGCTGTGATATCCAATCATGATTTCATTGATAGAGGGTTGCTGCTGACAATGAAACTGTTAAACCAAGAGTTCCAAGTGATGAAGTTGAAATCATCCTTTCGTAACTTTTAGGAACACGACGGGTGCCTCATGTGGAGCAGGATACGCTTACCCTTCCAGAGCACCTGAGATCACCCTCGGTTTTTGGTGGGATTCGTGTAGCTCAGTCTTTTATTTTCTATTTGGTGTTTTGTATGCTGTTGTTTGTCTTTTAGTCTTCTCTTTTTTTTTGTCATGGCGTTGTCAATATAAAAATGAGAAGATATTGTATGATTGCAAATAAGACAACTCCCAAGCAGAGACCAAATTACATAGACGTTAACAATTACGGCTTTCAACAATGAGAAAAACCAATACCACATAGTCAGCTATAAAAGGCCCCAAAATGCCAAAAATAAAACAATTCAAACGAGAAAACTAACGACCTGCTTTATGTACAAAACAATGAACGAAAAACAAATATGATAAATAGCAACAAACGACAACCACTAAATTACAGCCTCCTGACTTGGGACAGGCATATACAGAATGTGTAGGGGTTAAACTAGTTTGTTGGCTCCAAACCCTTCCCTAACCTTGGATAGTGGTTTAACAGTACAACATAAGAACAAACTAAAAATCAGTTGAAAAGAGCTTAACTCATCAGCTCAACATAAAGCAGAAAGACATCTATCAAAAACACAGACCGGACGGAGGGTATTTATACATCCCTACAACAAAAAGACACTACGTACAGATCTGAGATTAGTGGCAGTTACTGTCATTCCTAGTTCAAGGCCAATAAAAACTCATAAAACAAATCATGCATCTAAGACATAACATATCAATCAGTACACATCAAACATCCAATAGACCAGTTTATTTTCGATTTTGAATGTCCTTTATTTTTCGTTCGCCTCTCTTTTACACACAAACACGATGTTTTTCAGGCATTTTTGAAGAGTTATATGTAGGACCCGTTTTAGGGATATTTTATTTTTACTTTTGAATACTCTTTTTTTTTAAATATGACACATTTTTACAATCTCAATTAAGATTAGCATGGGACATAGATGGCGTTTTACCTTAATATTTGCCTAATAAGGATCATGACACGGCACATGTCAAACTTGAATTTTCTTGCGACATAGGAATTTCGGGACGTAAAAGACAACTCAACAAAATCTACTGAACAAAGGCTCGTCGGAAAAAGTAAAATATCCATAAAAATGTAGAAGATTGTACTCAACCTGACCCCCACCGCCACAAAAAAAAAACAGCATGCAAACAAATTACAAATTTGCATTAGTTTGCGTAAGAAAGTACTAAGGCAAATATGTTGGTCCCTTTTCAGCATTGTTTGCTATTTCGTGGTGGTAATATTATTAATAATCTTTCATACATTAGCGTTTTGTACAAATTTAAAAATGTAAAAATAGGATATTTGAAGACACAATTTTCCTCGGCATAATCGTGCTTTTCTGATTAGCTAATAATGTTGTACGAATCGTTTCACAAGTCCAGCGACAGATATTAAACGTAGGTCAGTGATCGGGCAATGTCATTTTTTTAAAGTTAAACTGATTCTATTTCTAAAATCAAGCCCGTGGTTGTGTAAAATGTTCCTAATTTTAAAAGAATAACTTACTTTTTGTTTAACTTTATATTTTATTTAATTATAATATATGAGAATATATAACTTCTCCTGTTATATTTTCAGGAAAAGAAAAGAAAAGGAATATTTGGGTTACCGCTCTTGCTACATAATACTGGGTCGTTCAACTTTTATAGTAACCTCTTCTGAAAATACAATTTCCCATTTTAAAATTTAAATATTCATAACAAAATGTCTCTGTCGTTTTTGTCAGCCGCCTAATGTTTTCATAATTTACCCTACACCAGTTAGTTTTATTTACGTCAAATTCCTCACGACTAAATATAGCAGGTACATAATGTACTATGTAAGTTAATATTATCAAACAGTGTTGTTTATACACACTATTTTTAAAAAGTTACACCTTGTTGACATCATTTTACCTGTACATCAGGATTAAAGATACAAATGGTACAATTGATCATTCAGGAAATGAACAAGTAAGTTTTTGCAGATATAGATGTATCAATACAAGGAGATGTGGAGGTATACGTCAATGAGACAACAACCCAACGACACATAAAAGCAATAGACAGCATACAGTGTGTATACATGTATCTGTGAAATATGTCAAGAGTCTTAAAAGGTTGTGGATTACTAAATAGAAACTATCAACGATTTGTGTTAGTCATTTCAATCAGTTATAATATCAATAGTGCATATATAAATATATTTAAATATTATTGTTATATGTAAGCGTAATCAAATTATAGAAGACATTAATGTACTTTTATTTATGTAGTTCCAGCTTGCTTTTCTGTCAAATTTAAGCATTTCTTGATACGTATTTTATATTGTTTCTTCTAGCCGTTTTTTGAATCACTAAATATTAGCACTATTTTAACTGATCTACATTTTATGACGTTTTAGTACCTGCTTGTTATACTTTTTTTGCAGCAAAAGGCGGGAGATTTGTAGATATCTGTCTTACAAATGCTGAGGAAAATGCATTGTATATTCTTAAAATCAACATTTTGTCTCCATCTTCCTTATGGTCAATTTTCGTTGGTTTAAGATAGATATACATATTTTTGCTGATATTCCACAATATACAAGGCGGTCATTTAAGATTTTTTACTAGATTTCATACATTATTGTTTAAAGACCAAGTTACCAGAATTTTTTTTTCTTCAAATTGATTGATTTAATCCCTCTAAAATGTAATTTATCGCCCAATTACACTTAACGGTACATGCTAAATGTTAATGAGACAGCAGCCCAGCGATACAAATACCAAAAAAAAGAACTAGAGGACAACAAACAGTCGTCTATAAACAATAGGTTATGCAATGAATATTTCGAAGTGTTAAAAAGTTTGAATAAATTGAAGATTATTATGCGTAAACAATCAAAGATCTGCAATCAGCAAAATATTCTCCAAATGACAAACACAACTTTAGGATATTGCATAAGACATATACATGTATATCGTGGTTTAAGTAACTTTTCAAACAGTAAAAGTTAGTACAGAAAACGTCGAACACAAATACGATAAAGCTTTAGCCTGAAATAAGTAATGTATCTTAGAAGTTTATTGATTGATTAATTGATAGGTGTTTAACGCTACTTCATTGGCTATATTGTGACGGTCAGCTTTAGTAGTGGGGGAAACCGGAGAGAACTGACAATGCTATTCACTTAAGTTGAAGTCAAAAGCACTAGTCATGTGCTGGGCCGTATAGACTCACAAAGTGTTGACAAGCTAGTGGTAAAGTAGTTGAACTGCTTAGACCACCAAGCCACCAAGGTAGCTCTAATAAGTAGTCCTATAACATAAGCCTTCGTAGGTTCATATCGTTTGCATTCGACGTTTTTTATCGAATATTTTTTTTTACTATCAATGCCAAACCACGAAGTCTTATTTGAAGCAGATATTTTCTCGTAGCATTTTCAAATGAATGCAAATAATCTCTTACCGCATTTATATTGCAAAATTATGTTTTTAATCCATCCGTTTTTATCCTTTGTTGACAAACATTTTTCATCTCGCCATTTTACTTTAAAAAAATGTGCCGATTCTATATTTCTAAGAAAACGTAAATAAAACGAATTTGACGGTTATATTTAAAGTATGTTTTGTACACCATAAGATGATTGATTGTTGGTTGCTTTACGTCCAGCGGCAAATAGTTTATTCATTTTCAGGACAAGAACAAATTAACATTAGTCAGTACATAGTGATGAAATAATTAGATATGTTCTGTAATAATAGTCGATCTGGATGAAGGTCGGGGAAATTTGGACTGCCACTGGAAATTGAGAGTATATTCAATTTGGATAGAGACAGAAATTTTGTTTTGAAACAGTCCACCTACGGACCCTTCAAATAGTTGATGCAAGTGTTCTTATCGTTCAGAGAGCATGTCGCTCTCTTTACACGGGACACGTCCAACTTTGACCTGACGTGGCTGCGTACTTATACATCCCGCACAGCCAAACGGACTACCCACTTTGGAAATGTTTTCTTGTCGGTCGGAGGCAGACCAAAGTGACCACATTCTATTCGTCAGTCACCCTTGGGGTTTTAAACAAAGGACACACGAGCTATCCGACATTGAAACATATACACTGCATCAATAAAATAATAAATGTTATCTTTGCATTTATTTCTATCCGATAAACAAATTGCTACTACTGGATTAAGTTTTGAAATGAATTACAATTGACTGCCTGCACCAGGTTCAGCATTGATAGTAAAAAAAAATATCCGATAAAAAAACATCGAAAGCAAAAGATATGAACCTACGAAGGCTTATTTTATAGGACTAACGCATAAGTTGAATGAATTGAATGAAATTATGTCTTCAAAAGGTTTTAATCGTAATTTATAAACAATGATTTTCCCGATAATTTACATAATGTTACTACCTTCATAATTCAAAACAGGATACAATATTTAAGTAAATTTCCGACTAGGCTTACACGAATGTTACGCGATGTAAATATTCTTATCTGTAAAGGAAAATTATCTCTCAACTTAACGTAAGGTTGGCGTGCCAATATGGCATCTAATTTACTGATTTTTCTATTTGTAGTTCTATTTTTGTTCATACAAAAGTCCACATGTTTTCTGCTGACGGGAATGAACACTGGATATGCCATATATGTATGGAGGGACGGTTATGACCCAACGATACCCGGATGTAGCGAACGTGACTTTCTGAATTGGGATAAACATTCAAAATGCTTTACACATACCTGGGATAGTCATAGCAGAAGACAATGGCTATGGAGCACATGTAAAGTCCAGGGAAGAGAAATTCGAAAGATATTTCTTGCAGACATTCATCATAAATTGCGTGATGGGTTTAATTCCAAATCGTGCGGACTTCCTGGAATTCAATTGATAAAACAAACATTAAATGAAGGTCATTCGACAGTGCTTGGGCTCCAGATCTATGCACTCTTTGCTGTTAGTGATATTGACGTATCAGAAAAGGATTTGATTAAGCACGTGGTCTGGTACAACGATCATTGTGCAGGTATTGTAAAAATGCTATATAAAAGTATAGGAATCTGATATGTTCACTAATACACATTTCGCTGAACTAGTATATACATTTTCAATTAGGTGCCAGCTGAAGCCCGTTTCCGGGGGCGGGATTTTTCTCGCTTCGTTGAAGACCCATTGTTGACCTGGGCTGTTTTCTGCTCTTTGATCTGGTTGTTTTCTTTAACACATTCCCCATTTACATTCTCTTTTCTACATGCAGGTATACTCAAGCCACGTGACTAAAGCAAAGATATATCTGACACTTTTTACAATGTACACATGTAAATACAGACAACAACATTTAAACATCTAGGCATGAAAGCGAAATCTTGTTAAATATATGGTTTCCTTGCAACATGTGCAATGCCATACATAACAGAAGTTTTGACGCGATATATATTTACAAGAGATCTTAGAATAGAAAAATACATCAAATAAATTTAGCATCACCGGTCTAAATTGTGATTTCAATATAAACAAATTGTCCTTACACAACCTATTGCTGTCCTGTTTTCACATAGAAGTTAAATCAAATCACATAATCTTATTCAAAAGCTCTGTTACGGTTAATCAGACTGTTTGCTTTTTTTATCTTTTTTCCACATTTGGCATCCAGGGTATTCTGTAGCTTACTGTACGATATGGGTTTTGCTCATTGATCAAGGCCGTACGGTGATATCTTAAACAAAAAGTTGTCTCGTTGCCAATAAAACCATAACTTTTTATTCTTATTTTGTTTACTGAAGCTTTATGTTTTTTTGTTTTTTTTTACATCTGTAAATATTTAGCTGCAAATGAGAAATTTGATGGAGTTGCAGTCAACAATGAAGCATATGCATCAATAAAATGTCACAGTGGACAATCAGAACAAACGCGGTACTTACATCACCTAAACATGATTAAAACAGAAAGCATGAAACAGATCCATGGTCGTTTACTTACCCATTACTCCGTCAGCTGGCACTGGGGACGCTGTGGTAGTACACAGAAAATGATTACGTACAACGGGAAAACACAAGACGTAGTCAGACACATGATTGACATTTTCGATAGTATAGATGTTCAGGTAAAATTATATTTTGATTCACGATACTCTATTGGTCAAGATGTTGTCTGTGTTCTGATTTTTACATGAATAACAACCGCATATTTTAAACGCAATTTCTTAAAAGAAAAACAAAACGAACAGAAACAAAACACAAAAGTTTGAACCGATATATAGTCAGAGAAAAATACTTAAACTTGTGTATTTAGCATGACTGTACGGTCGCAAGCAAATGGTGAAAAGAGCAGTACTAATAACCTTCATATCTTGAGGTCATAAAAATATATTTTTTATCATATTCACAGATGTAACGGACCTCTTGGTTTGTTATTTTAAATAAATAAATTCATGCTATATTTTGCAGGTTGGTTACATCACGTTCCCCCAAATATCTGACCGAGCTAAATTGGCAGGATACCAATATGCTTTAGATAACAGCAAGGAAATATTCGTCACACTCTACACCAATAAGGTAAGATATCTATATATATCACCTACAAACTGGTACATGACATCTTGTAATGTTCCGTCTATTTGTCTCTCCAGGCAATAATGTATTAAAAATAAAGCTAACCAAGATTTAACCTTGGAAGAATTTTGCTATTCGTTTTGGGACCCTTTTGTCCATATATAGCTTCTTTCTTTTCTAAATATTTATACATCTATGAATTTCAAATGTTCAGGCTTGGTCGTTCCTTGTGAAGGTAAATTGGAAAAGCTCTTCGGATGCACGACATTTAATGTTTTATAATGTGTTATTTTTATTTATAGTTTATTGATATATTTTTTAAATTGTAAAACAACTGTTTAATAATATTATATTTAGACGCTTTAATATTCAACTTTTACCCAGTTTCGATAACTTCCCCATTGTTTGCCCTTGAGTGAAACACATGCGCGGGATATTGACCATACTTGTTGGTCATACAGTGCACCTTATTTGTGTTTTATCTGATAGTTGTTGCTTCAGATTTTATGTTTTTCTTTTATTTCTACTGCTATAACATTGGTTTTCTTTAATTCTACTGCTATAACATTATTTTTCTTTAATTCTACTGCTATAACATTAGTTTTCTTTAATTCTACTGCTATAACATTGGTTTTCTTTATTTCTACTGCTATAACATTGTTTTTTTTTTTAAATCTACTGCTATAACATTTGTTTTCTTTAATTCTACTGCTATAACATTGATTTTATTTAATTCTACTGCTATAACATTGGTTTTCTTTAATTCTACTGCTTTAACACATTGGTTTGCTTTAATTCTACTGCTATAACACTGGTTTTCTTTAATTCTACTGCTATAACACTGGTTTGCTTTAATTCTACTGCTATAACATTGGTTTGCTTTAATGTTACTGCTATAACATTGGTTTGCTTAAATTCTACTGCTAAAACACTGGTTTGCTTTAATTCTACTGCTATAACACTGGTTTGCTTTAATTCTACTGCTATAACATTTGTTTTCTTTAATTCTACTGCTATAACATTGGTTTTCTTTAATTCTACTGCTATAACATTGGTTTGCTTTAATTCTACAGCTTTAACACTTTGGTTTGCTTTAATTCTACTGCTATAACATTCGTTTGCTTTATTTCTACTGCTATAACATTGGTTTTCTTTAATTCTACTGCTATAACATTGGTTTTCTTTAATTCTACTGCTATAACATTGGTTTGCTTTATTTCTACTGCTATAACATTGGTTTGCTTTAATTCTACTGCTATAACATTGGTTTGCTTTAATTCTACTGCTATAACATTGGTATGCTTTACTTCTACTGCTATACCATTGGTGTTTTTTAATTCTACTGCTATAACATTGGTTTTCCTTAATTCTACTGCTATAAAATTGGTTTTCTTTAATTTTACTGCTATAACATTGGTTTTCTTTAATTCTACTGCTATACCATTGGTTTTCTTTACTTCTACTGCTATACCATTGGTTTTCTTTAATTCTACTGCTATACCATCAGTATTCTTTAACTCTAATGCTATAACATTGGTTTGCTTTAAATCTACTGCTATACCATTGGTTTTCTTTACCTCTAGTGCTATACCATTGGTTTTCTTTGATTCTACTGCTATAACATTAGTTTGTTTTAATTCAACTGCTATAACATTGGTTTTCTTTAATTCTACTGCTATAACATTGGTTTTCTTTAATTCTACTGCTATAAGATTGGTTTGCTTTAATTCTACTGCTATAACATTGGTTTGCTTTAATTCTACTGCTATAACATTGGTTTGCTTTAATTCTACTGCTATAACATTGGTTTTCTTTAATTCTACTGCTATAACATTGGTTTGCTTAAATTCTACTGCTATAACATTGATTTTCTTTAATTCAACTGCTTTAACATTGGTTTTCTTTATGTCTACTGCTATAACACAGTAACTGTTCTGATTACTTTTTCAGAATGATCCTTGCCAGACAACTTTCTTTCCGTCTCCTTGTAACAAAGGTAACCATACAGAAGCTGGAATGCTTGATGTCTTTGATAATTTTAAGAAATATGGAATCGAGCACGCCCGTCCGTGTATTCACTATTTCAGAGGAATATATTCCAGTGGTGGGAATCCTGATTGGCCAATACATTGACACCAACAGACCGTAAACAACAGAGATCGAACTCAAGTATTCATAAAGAATCAGATATTATATGTATATAGGAACGTATTTTTTCCAACTCTTAATTTATAAATGCTTGTTTGTCATGCAAATTTATTATTGTATTTAGCTTCCTAAGGTATGTTGTTTAAGCGACTGATGGGTCTTATGCGTTCTTAATCATAAGCCTGGTACTATCTTAACATTATTGGTCTGTAATGATTTAAAACATCTACTACTTTTATGAGGGATGGTAGGATGCATACAAGTCTCTTAGTATTAAACTGATGTTATATCACGAAATCTGAACATTCATATAATGCTTCCGAGGGATCTAGATATACATACAATGTATGGATCATGACTTGTGTACTTTGACGTTCTTTTTGTGTGTACATTAATGTGAACAGGTGCCACATGTGGAGCAGGATCTGCTTTACCTTCCAGAGCGTCAGAGATCATCACCGTTTTTTCATGGGGTTCGTGTTGCTCAGTCTTTATTTTTCTATGTTGTGTTTTGTATACTGTTGTTTGACTTTTTGGAAATATTTTGCTAATACCAATTCTCATGTATATAAAAATAAGAAGGGAAAAAGGGAACTTATTGGAAAAGGATACCAAAGGGTAATTGTTGGGAGAGAATACCAAAAGGTAATTGTTGGGAGAGGATACAAAAGGGTAATTATTGGGAGGGAATACCAAAGGGTAATTGTTTTGAGAGGATACCAAAGGGTAATTGTTGGGAAACGATACCAAAGGGTAATTGTTGGGAGAGGATACCAAAGGGTAATTGTTGGGAGAGGATACCAAAGGGTTATCGTTGTAAGAAGATAACAAAGGTTGTTGTTGGGAGAGGATACCAAAGGGTAATTGGTGGGAGATGTATACCAAATGGTAATTGATGGTAGAGGATACAAAAAGGTAATTGTTGGGAGAAGGTACCAAAGGGTAATTATTGCGAGAGGAAACCAAAGGGTAATTTTTAAGAGAGGATACCAAAGTGTAATTGTTTGGAGAGGATTCAAAAGGGTAATTGTTGGGAGAGGATACAAAAGGGTAATTGTTGGGAGAGGATATTAAAGTGTAATTTTTTGGAGAGGACACTAAAGGGTAATATTTGGGAGAAGTACTAAAGGGTAATCGTTTGAAAAGGATACCAAAGGGTAATAGTTGGTAGAGAATACTAAAGGGTAATTGTTGGGAGAGATTACTAAAGGGTAATTGTTGGGAGAGAATGATAAAGGGTAATTGTTGCAAGAGAATACTAAAGGGTTATTATTGGCAGAGGATACCAAAGGGTAATTGTTGGAAGAGGATACTAAAAGGTAATTGTTTGGAGAGGATATCAAAGGGTAATTGTTGTGAAAGGATACCAAAGGGTAATTATTGGGAGAGGATACAAAAGGGTAATTTTTGGGAGGGAATGATTAAGGGTAATTGTTGCAAGAGAATACTAAAGGGTTATTATTGGCAGAGGATACCAAAGGGTAATTGTTGGGAGGGGATACCAAAAGGTAATTGTTGTAAAAGGATACCAAAGGGTAATTATTGGGAGAGGATACAAAAGGGTAATTTCTGGGAGGGAATGATAATGGGTAATTGTTGCAAGAGAATACTAAAGGGTTATTATTGGCAGAGGATACCAAAGGGTAATTGTTGGAAGATGACACCAAAAAGTAATTGTTGGGAGAGGATACCAAGGGGTAATTGTTGTGAAAAAATACCAAAGGGTAATTAGTGGAAGAGGATACAAAAGGGTAATTTTTGGGAGGGAATACCAAATGGTAATAGTTTGGAGAGGATACCAAAGGGTAATTTTTAGGAGAGGATACCGAAAGGTAATTGTTGAGATAGGATACCAAAGGGTATTGTTGAGAGAGGATGCCAAATGGTAATTATTGGGAGATGAAACCAAAGGGTAACTGTTGTGAGAGGATACAAAAGGGTACTTGTTGTAAGAGGATACCAAAGGGTATTTGTTGTGAGAGGATACCAAAGGGTAATTGTTGTGAAAGGATACCAAAGGGTTATTGTTGGGATATGATGCCAAGTGGTAATTGTTGGGAAATATATAAAGAGGTAATTGTTTTGAGAGATACCGAAAGGTCGTTATTGGAAGAGGATACAAAAAGCAACGGTTGGGAGAGTATACTAAAAGGTAATTATTGGGAGAGGATACCACACGGTAATTGTTTGAAGAGGATAGCAAAGGGTACAAGTAATTGTTGGGAGAGGATACCAAAAGGTTATTGTTAGAAAAGGACATCAAAGGGTAATTGTTGGGAGAGAATACCAAAGGTTAATTGTTGGAAGAGGATACTAAAAGGTCATTATTGGGAGAGGATACTAAAAGGTCATTATTTGGAAAGGATATCACACGGTAATTGTTAAGAGAGGATACCAAAGGGTACAAGTAATTGTTGGGAGAGGACACCAAAAGGTAATTGTTAGAAAAGGACGTCAAAGGGTAATTGTTGGAATGGATACCAAAGGGTAATTGTTGGAAGAGGATACTAAAGGGTAATTTATGGGAGAGGATACTAAAGGGTTATTGGTGGGAGAGGATACTAAAAGGTATTTGTTGGGAGAGGATAATAAAGCATAATTGTTGGGAGAGAATAATAAATGGTGATTGTTGGGAGAGGATACCAAAGGGTAATTGTTGGGAGAGGATACTAAAGGGTAACTGTTAGGTACTAAGGGGTAATTGTTGGGAGAGGATACTAAAAGGTACTTATTTGGAAAGGATACTAAAAGGTAATTGTTAGGAAAAGATACCAAAGGGTACTTGTTGGGAGAGGATACCAAAGGGTAATTGTTGGGAGAGGATACCAAAAGGTTAATTGTTGTAAACTATAAGTCGAAGAGAGACAGACAACACCATGACCAACAAAAGACGATTTGACAAAAAAGACAAAATTCACTGCAAAAAACCTAAAAAATGAGCAAGATGATCCATTTCGAAAACTGGAAATGAGTTCAGGTATAATCAGGGCAATGAGTAAATTTATTTATTTTCTTAATTCACTCTGTTAAACCGAAAAAAAATCATTTAAGTACTCTTGACTTCCAATTGTTTCATGACACCCTAATACCAACGACGAAAAGTAGATACGTATGTCTCAAATATTTACAATGAAATTATTTCTGTATAAATAAAGACAAAAACCATTATAGAGACTGTCGGGTGCGGTGACCATCTTCAAAATTTATTATACACATAAAACACAATAAGACAAATGTCCTCAATAGTATGCACCACAAATGGCATCAGTTCATTCAAATAACATACAATCTACAAAAAAGATACGCATAATTAAAATATGAATACTACATATATAATGAACGAACTGTTATACTGAAGATTAATCTTCCTATACACAAATATGTATTACTCGTTTGATGGTCTCCGCTCTTGTCGATAACTGTTCTCGTGCACGCACGCCTTTAAATACTTACGGAACTTCTTACTAGAGCATTTGCATTATTCACGTATCTATATACTTGCAAGGATCGACGTATACGTATCGGACAGATTTGTATAAAAAAATGATTTAGCCCCGACCTCAATTAAAATTAAATTAAAATTAAAATGCATTATAAAATATCTTCATCGGGATCAACGTGACTTAATTTATCCTTTCCTCGTATACGTGTTATACGATACGTCGATACGGATACGCTAGCAAATACGTGAATAATGCAAATGCTCTACTCTAATGTTATTACAATTAGCCCGCTTTCTATACTCGAAAATCCATACGCCTGCCATACATACATGTATATATTAATTTTAGATATCTTAAAAGTGTTGATAAAAAGAAAGAGAAGATACCAAGAGGGTAATCAAAAACCATCAGTCCAATTAGAATGGAAAAATACAATAGCCAAAAAGAAAAGCGACGAAAAAAATAAACAACAATCATACTAGTATCAAAACACTACACTGTATACTTAAGATTGAGCAATATAGCACTTGTCTCTGAAAAATTGAGCTACATATACCCTTATATAACACTTAAAGGTATATAAGTTTAAAAAAAATTCAAGGCATGTGACTGAGATCGAGCAACACGAACAACTTCTAAACCAGATGAATGATAGGGAAGAATAGGCAAAATATGAAAATCAATTAATTTGATGTATTTAGTTTTCCTCTCCAAACAACCAGACACCATCAGATTCTGCCATACAGTCCAGTGGTGGATCCAGAAAATTTCACAAAGGGGGGGGGGGGGGGGGGGCATTTACTGCCTAAGAGGGGGCCCGCTCCAGTCATGCCTCAGTGATTCCCTATATAATCAACCATTTTTTTCCCACAAAAGGGGGGCAGGCTAAATTCATTGCTTGCGCACTTTTTTTGTAATTTCGTAACATGTTTTGATTGAAGATAGTGTTTAGGATTGTGTTAAGAATCATGTCTAGCTTCGAAATAAGTGTTTAAGTCCTAAAAACCTTTAATTCTAAAACATATTAAAAAACGTTATATTCATGACATGTGTCATAATCTTAAACACTGTTAGAACTAAACATGTGATACATTTTCTAAACACGAATTTAACAGTGTATGACAGATAAAACACAGAAGAAATTGTATAAATACAATGAATGCGAATTTAGTACACGTTAGGCACGCAGTTTACAAGCGATTTCACTCCAAGTATTTATTTCAATGTGAGACCTGCCCTTCAAGGTTCCAAGACGAATCGTTTCTGAGAGATCACAAGAAAATCAAACACGAAAAAGTTTAATTTGCAGCCGCTGCTTGAAAACTTTTAAGAGTAGACCTGGTCTTGCGTATATGAAACAGGTTATGGAAAGTTACAAACATAGATGCCCTCACCATGATCAAACTTTCATCATCAGGTTTTTTGACAGATTGAAGCTGAGATTGTCAGTGTTTATTCTAAACTTCTTGTTCGGATGTGGAATGGTGTCTTCCAAGTCCCGGACAGCGGTAACGGTGCATCTATCTTTGTTAGGAATAATGCTGTTTCTATTTTTGTAATAGAAAAACAAATGATATGGGGAATCCATCCAGGACACAAAATCAGTACATGCACAGCAAAATACACACAAAAACAAAGGAACAGCGCTTGTATTGCTGTTCTTCGTTTCAGAATCACAGTGAGGCCTTCAACATGGGCCAACAAAAACCAAAACTCTCACCTCATTTCAAGTAAAAGACGGTTCATTTTCAGGTTTTACTGAAAAACGGATTGGACTTAATTGTATATCAGAATATTTCTTTCTCTTGAGAAATAATATTTCTTTGTCAGTATGGCTATTAACTGCATGACCTATGATGCAATCGAAAAGCTGAGGAGAATAGTTACAGTAGCTTCATTTAAATTCTGCCATAGAACCACCACTAATTGAATAGCTCAGCGTAACCATAGGATTGTATATTATGCACTTGGAAGGTGGGAAATACTGTGCAATATTGATTGGAAAACCTAAAATTGATCCGACACGCAGTAGATATTGAACATCACGTCTACTTTATAAGGGTATAATTGGTTTATTATGTACGTGCATCCTCTACAAGATATCAGTCACTGTGATATTTTGCATGTAACATCGAACCTGTCATGAATAATTGTCGACGTATCTACTTTGTTTGGATGTATTGTGCCATATTATCGTATTTTTTTCATATAAAAAAAGTATCCCATTTCTATTAGAAATATATCGCATTGGAAAAGTTTTCATAATAAGAAATATAGCATTGTTGTCCTATTACAAGTGATTATGGCGTAGAATGCAATCGAATACGTTCAAGGGCCATTCCACTGTCTTTGTAATATGATTGTCAAAGTATTTTGACACCTCACACCTCAAAATTATTGATCGTGCAAATTGTGTTTTATCTAATGAAAATGCAGATTTACTGGTATAAATACAACATAATTTGGATACATTTTTCAAAATACATGGCAAGTTGTATATACATTTGTCCTGTGAAATACGTCTATGTTTTAAAGAGAATAAACAAGTCCTTTTGATGATTTTTCTTTTATTCCTACAAATGTCAACATTCGTCTGAGATTTCCCAATAATGCATCTCGTTTACAAAAGAAAATATCGCTAATCTGTTTATCCACTGCGTAATAGCAATAATTTAATCGCCCCCTTTTGTAGACTCTCATTAACAAATTCTTCATTTATTCCAACGTCGGTTCATGTCTGTCATATTTGTTTTTCGTAAATTATTTTGTTATAAATTAGACCATTAGTTTTCTCAATTGGAATGTTTCATGTTTTTTATGTCGGGGCCTTTTATAGCCGATTGTACGGTATGTTTTTTTCTCATTGTTGAAGGCCGTATGGTTGCCTATAATTGCTTACATCCACTCATTTGAACTTTTGTTGATAGTTGTCTCAATGGCAATCACACTGCATCTCCTTTTTATATTGATAATTCTATCCGTACACTTTGTACCCCATCAAAGTTCAAACTCTCCTTGTTGAATAATATATTCGAAACAAAGACTGTACCTAAACATTGTAAGCATGTATGCGTGGAAATTGAACGCAACTTCAACTCAGCTACGCTGTTCAATTTCATTTCTAAATAACGACCGATTGAAATCAAATATAATACGTTGTCCAAATTCAGTATGTGGTGCTCCTCGTGAGGATGCATTTCATTTCTTCTTTAATTTCAATAAATACCCCGATATGAAGAACTATCTACTAAGAAAGATTTGTCGTTTTCAAGTGACAGCAAATATTTAGTTGCTCATTGAGGGTGGCCACAATCTACCAACATACTAGGAAAACTGTGAAACATCTTATAAAGATTTTACTTCATAAAAAAATTCAAAACGATTCATAGTAGTATTATCAAATAAGACATGAGCAAACAAAATCATCGTGTCTACAGAATTCCATTGATTAGTATTTTTTTTTTCAAATTTAATGTTTTTATATAACTTTCTTGTACACCGTGTGCAATTTAATCTACTTATTAATACCTTACAGCAGATCTCCTCAACTGCGCATGTTTTTAAAGGAGAAGACTTTATAATTTGGTAAAACTTGTCTGCTCCTATTTGTCTCTTTCAGCAAACACTATAGTTATTAACTAGCCTATGCAAAATTCTAGTGACAAGTCGTACTCGGATATCTCATATCTACACAACAAAATAAATAATAAGATTCAATCAATTTCACATTGTTTTTGGTTCGCTAACTTTCTTGTATTTAAAACTTGATTTAAGTTAAAAATAAATGTTTTATCCAGAAGACAAATTGATTATGCAGCTACTAGTATGTCATCATTAAAGCTGGTTTTTAATGGCGACATGTGTCCGTCTCTTTCGCTAACTACATTACTGTTTTCTACATCACTATTTGTAGCAGTTAATCTTTGGTGGGAACTATTGAAAGATTCGATGAAAACTGTGTCTGTTAATTCATTGGAATCTTCCAAGCCGCCATCTTTTGAAGAAATTAATACATTGTCATTTTCAAAGTCGCTGTACACGAGGTTAAGTGTGCCTGCTTTTCTTTCTGTTTTAACTTTATCCGTCTCATCGTTAGAACCGACCGAGTTCGTTGTGTCTGTTAAAGCGAAACATCGTTCGCGTTATCGTTAGAGGTCTGTCTGTCTGCCCTCGATGCTGGTTTGGATGAAATGTTTTCGCTATCTTGATTTAAGATTATTTCTTGAATATCGACACACGTAGTGTCATAGACAGGGGAACAATCAGTTGATTCAGCTGTATTTTGTTTTTTTGCTGTACACGTTGGATCTCCGTCGCTTTCGATGTTTTCTTTGGACATCTTATTACTTAAACATACGTGTGAACACAGTTGAATTGGTTGATAATTTTGGTGAATATCTGTAATATCACATGATATTTCTCTACGATGGACGCTATTGCACGACACTTGATCGTTGTACAGAAGAGCATAGCCTGATGTTTTCTCGTCCCAGACGTGGAGTGGACCACGAAATCCATATTTATCCGGTCTGCATAAACTGCCATAAGGCGTAAAACATCCTAAAAAGTTATAACGTATCCCGTCAGTGTCAGGTATACGAAGACCCGGTTGTTTAAAAATTTCAGAAAGGCGCCATTTTTGAGTCTTTGTTCCTTTTACATTGTCCGTCTTTTGAATTCGTGTTAATACTTTTTCAGCACGAATTAAGCTTTTCTTCGGTGGAACATCTGTGACTGCCTCCAAAATATGGCATCTATTAAACGCTGCATCAGACTGTTTCAAATAGCTCATAGTACAACTCACAGCATGATCTGCGAGTAGACGTACTTCCGCTTCCGATTTCAACATGGCAATTTGGTATTCAAACGCAAACCCTAACTCGGACGCAATGTCTCTCAATGTTTCCATTAGGTCATGATTAGGAATGTCTAGTAATTTACTCTCTATTCGTGACGCCCTTGCACGGCGTACAATCTGATAAATTTGACGGAAAAGTCCTTTTATACTATATGCACCTTTCATCCGACATGCATTCTTTATTTTGTTTCTTTTTTCACTTACAATCATTTCAACTTCGTCTTCAAAAGTTGCACAGAAATTTACTGAAAAGTTACTAAACGCTTCCGGAAGTGATGCTCCATTTTCCTGAAGCAATTTGGTATACTTCCGATGTTTCTGGACAAATCTTGCAACAAAACGGGTCACAAATACATTTCTGGTATGTTCGATTTCTGTTAGTGTTGGATATTGAGAAATTGTCTTCCTACTTTTTGCAATAGCTTCTGCCATAACTCCTGTCAGAAAGAAAAATAAATAAAAAAATGTACAATATTTAACAATCGTTTTACATTTACATCGTAGAGGAAATTTAAAGGATGTCTTTATTTTATTTTTCTTCCGTTATATGCAAAAATAAAATGTATTAAATAATTGTAAGATAAAAAACATTTATCGCTATTTTTGAAAATTAAGCTTTGATCTTTTTTTATGATTTTGTAATTATTTATATCACGCTACTCGATGAGATTGTAGCTGAGAAACACCCTCTTGTTTGAAAGACCATAGATAATCTATAAGTCCCAGGTTAAGGGAGGGCTGAGCGGTTACAAACGTCGAATAGAAATCGACCTTTTGCAGGTGCACGTATAAATGTACATGTATAAGACTTTGATTGATTTTTGTACATTCTAATATGAAATAAAAGATGAATTTGTTCTGTTTTGTAGGGTTCTTATAACGACTCAATTTTCAAACAGTTGCATACTTTCCGAAAGCTTTCCGTCGAGATATGTCAAACCCGCCACATTCTTTATATAAATATAAGAAGATGTGGTATGAGTGCCAATGAGACAACTATCCATCCAAGTCAAAATTTATAAAAGTAAACCATTATATGTCAAAGTGCGGTCTTCAACATGGAGCCTTGGCTCACACCAAACAGCAAGCTATAAAGGACCCCAAAAATTACTAGTGTAAAACAATTCAAATGGGAAAACCAACGGTCTAATCTATATAAAAAACGAGAAACACTTATGAAACACATCAACAAACGACAACTACTGAACATCAGATTCCTGACTTAGGACATGTGCAAACAAATGCAGCGGGTTTAAACGTTTTAATGGTACCAAACCTTCACCCTTTTTCCTGAAACAAAAGTGTAACATCACAACATAAAAAGACACACTATAAAATATCAACTGAAATAGCTTAACTCAATCAAAGGACATATTAACACCAGTGAACATACACTGAACAAATAAATTTGACCTATGATACAATGTAAATACAAAATAAATAAACTAAGGGAAGAATAATAAAAGTAACAGTTATACTATATGAAATGTTAAACAATTTAAGAAAAACAATATGCTCGAACAAAAATATCAGCCATTTGCAATTACTTATAAATAAAAATAATTTTGTTGTTAGGTATACGTGTACAGTTCAAATAGAGAAAGGAAATATTTTTACAAATAAATAGTTTTGATGTTCATAGTACGAAGTGAAAATTTATATTAATACCAAACACTTATCAAAGCTGGTATATATACCAGATATAACTCTGAATAACATTAAATAACAAAAAAGCATTACAATTAGTATCAACAGGTCAAAAAAAACAAAAAAGTACGATTTGAGAGTACTCGCAGTTACTGACAGCTAGTTAAAAGCCAAAAACAATTAATAATAAAAAATTATGCATCATAGACTAAAATCAACTAAAACACATCCCAGGGATTTAGTATTTTAACGTCATGGACAGTCAAAGAAGACATGACTTGTGCAATGACAAAAATAAATGTTTCGACAGGCAGTAGGATAGTTAGGTTAAACATCTTTATAGATCAAACTGAACGTGGGTGTGTATTTATACATCCCGTTTGAAAAGAATACAAATTTAGTTATGTTTTAATTTGCTGATGACAAAATCGATATTAGTGCCAATATAAACTATATTCAAAGATCTAATTACAACATTGGTAAGATAACCTTTACTAATAAGTTTGTTTAAAGGTTCGATGAGTTTACACGGATCACATAGTGATTTCCCCGCTTTAAGTACAATATTACCGTAAAAATTAGGATATGAAATACCGTTTTTAATCAGTTTTCTACAGGTACAGCCAAATTTACTAATCAAATCTTTGTGACTTAGAAAGAATTAAGTAAAAGTTTTACGTAACTAATGGTTACGAAATCCCTGACTTAATAATTTACCAGTGATGCATTGATTACGTTCGTTAAAGTCTATGACATCACTACACACACGGGCATAACGAACGAGTTGAGATATATAAACACCGTATGATGGAGCCAAAGGAACATCGCCGTCTAAAAAAGGAAAATTAGCAATAGGAAATGAAAAGTCGTCTCTTTTGTCGTAAATTTTCGTATGGAGTTTTCCTTTAGAGATTGAAATGCCTTTTCTAGGCCAGTTTCCTGAAGTTTAGTATTTGCTGTTGTTTGCTGTCTGTCAGATTTATTTTTCATTTATTGTTGTAGTATAAATCAGGTCGTTGGTTTTACCCTATTGCATTGTTTTACATTATATATACATGACATACATGTATATCGATACCATACCTGAGCATTTTATAGCTAACTATACAAGATAGAAGATATTTTATTAACCAATCATGGTGCCCAAAATTTGAGCTATACAATTAAATGAATTACAAAACAAAGCACAGTAAATGATTAGAATGATTAGTATGATTAAAGTACATTTATACAAAAACATGTATAAAATTGAGAATGGAAATGGGGAATGTGTCAAATAGACAACAACCCGACCATAGAGCAGAACACAGCCGAAGTACCATAATTATAAACAATGTCATTGACAAAACATTAAGTCATTATGGAAACCACTGTGACCTAGAGAATAACTTATATGATGTGAAATTTTGGATTAATTGTTGTTGAAAGCCGTACGTACGGTGACCTGTAATTATTCACATCTATGTTATTGGTCTATAGATATACGAGGATAGGAATGCCTTTTACCGTCAGGCGTCAAACGGTCATTTTCGGCTACCGTTAGCGTCAAATTGGTTAAAAGTTTACCGTGATTCGTCATAATATCCTTATCGTGTTTCGTCAGAGGTCTCAAATAATTATCGTTACCGTTATTTTTGGAAAAAAATTAACGTGATTCGTCACAATCAGTCGATTTTTTTATCGTCTGAATGAAAGTGTACCTTATATCGTCATGCATGAAAAATTACCCTTAACGTCATTTGGCAAGATTTTTTACCTTTATTCGTCATGAAGGTACCCCTATTACGACCCTCATATACACGAGATTTGTTGTCATAACGGAGGGTCTGGATGGATGGTCATTACTGTATTCTTTCATTTTTGGGTCATTTTTCCCTATTTTTTATCATTTGGTCTTAATTACTATATTCTTTAATTTTTGGGTCATTTTTCTCAATTTTTTTTATCATTTTTGACCCTTATTCTCCATTTCTTATATTTAGGAACCCCTTTTTTTATCTCTTCTTTATAGTTTTAGTCTTTTTTCTCTATTACAAAATGTATTTATCTTTTGGCCCACTTTTCTGAAGTCTTTCCTAATGTTTCTCTTTTCTGTACACCTCATATATATACAGTCCGCCAAAAGTTAAGCACCACCTATTTTTATTGCATCGACATTTTTTTCATTTAAAAAAATCAGTTAATCCTCGAAAAAGAGAAAATATTCATGTAGCAATTTTGCTAACATATATCATAAACAAACTGTAGACTTAAGTTTGTTCACGTATGCAGGTTCTATGCATTTGAAATTTGCATTCATAGAAATAGTGAAAATTACACAAATCAGAAACGGAATTTAAGTTTCACTGTGATGTAATTTTTTTACAACAATTAGTCACCCAATATCATTAAAAGTCTCTACAAATAATCTTTGGTATGTTCGGCAAATTAAATGTCAATATTTGAGTCAATTGGATGTGTAACACCCTCTCTTCCGGTACAGTTCCATATCACGGAGTCTCATACTCTGTAGAAGCCTTCTGAACTTTAGTTGAACAAATTTATTCCATTCAGCAACAATTGCGCTTCTTAAATCGCTAAGATTTTGCAAAGGTGGATCTCTGCGATTGAGATTTCTGCCAATGGCATCCCAGACATGTTCGATAGGGTTCATGTCTGGAGACATGGAAGGCCAAAAGATAGTGTCAATGGCTTCTTGCTCTTTGTACTCTTTGTACTCGGTTATAATCCTTTCCCTGTGTGGTCTAGCATTGTCGTACATGCACAAGGGTCTTGAAGCAAGTGGAGGATTATCAAAATGAGGTACTACAGTGTTTCTAAGCACCAAATCCCTGTATGTCTGTCCGTTCATGTTACCCTGCAGAATATGCATACCCACCTTACAACAGTATGAGAAGAAACCCCATACTGTAACACCACCAGCAACGTATGCAGTCGTTGGGCAAATGTTGTTTTGGTCATTAGCAGTTTTATTTCCACGGCAAACTCGTATTCTGCCGTCTATTGGTCGTAACAGAAACTGACTCTCATTTGACCAATGAACATTTTGCCAGCTTCTCATGTTCCAGCGTCGATGGTCATTAGCCCTTTGAAACCTGATTATACGGTGCCTGGCTGTTAGGGCAGGTCTCTTGACAACACGACGTGCTCTAAGATAGCCTCTATGAAGTCGACGGACCAATGTTCGAACACTAACATGACCACCTTGACGCCTGTGGTGTCTAAGTTGTGGGGCAGGAGTAAATGGGTTGGCTTTAGCGCAACCAATAAGGAGTCTGTCATCACGATCGGTAGTTAAACGGGATCTTCAGGACCTTGGTCTATCATTTACAGTTCCTGTGTCAACATGACGTTGTAAAAATCTGACAATGACGGTGTGTTTAACATTGAAATGCTTACCTATGCAACTAGTGCTCCTACCGGCATTTGACATGTCAATTGCTTGTCAAGGTTCAGTCACATATAACTTACCCCTTGCCATATTTCACAGTGACTTGGTGAAGGTCAAATTTCACCTGTACGCGGGGCAGTATGAAGATGATTTAAAGGCATCGAAAAAGTGTATTCGAAAAAGTGCAGATGACCTTTAATAAAATATTGATGGGCGTGTTGATCGTAGTTTATTTTTTTTGGTAGTAATGAATTTTCTTGGTGTATGTGACAGGAAATTCATAACACCAAACATAAATATTTTTTTCGCAATAGTTAAAAAAATATTGCCAGTTATATTTAGGTGGTGCTTAACTTTTGGCGGACTGTATATATACAAGTCTAAATTGTAAACAACGTTCAAACCTATGATTGCGTTGGATAAAAACATCAATTTGTATACGTATGCATGCAAAACAAATTTCTTGTTAGAGGGGTCTAAATACAGCACAAACAACATTTTCCAAAAGACCAAAAAAGTGAAAAAGTATATTTTAACAAAACGCATTTGACTAACAGGTCGAACAACAAATGTTCTTAAACCCTGCTGACTGCCATTGGCGATTGCCAAATAAACGGATCACCGATGTAATAAATGGATCTTAATTATAAATTTAATACTAAACAGAAACAATAAACTTGCGGAAAAGATGATATACCGCAAACAAAAGGTGCAAAGTATATATATATATATCGATTTTTCACTTCCCTCGTCTATACGCCTTACGTGACAAGATAACACTACGACTATTGAAGTTATATTTTTATAAAGCGGATGTGGTCGAGTGGTATCTAGCGCTGGATATGAGGCTAAGCGATTGGTGCTGTAGTGTATCAAAGGTGTGGGATCGAATCCCGTTGAGGGACAAAAATTTGTCAGCATAAAAATCTAATTCTAACACTGTTGGGTTTAATTCTCAGACTTATATATATATATTGAACACTTGTTTATCAACTTAAAAATTGTCAATGCCCTAAAACGACTTGAGAGATCTATGGACATTAAATTTTATCAATATAAATTAAACCACGATACAATTTCTGCAGTCTAATTAGAATTGAATTTCTGGACCTTAAACAATATTACTTACACGTGAAAACTGTGAATGTATGCAATACACAGATTTCGTAAATCCTGAATATGGCGTCATATACGAAAATGAAAATATCCAAATAGAAATTTCCGAATTACGTGCACATAATAATAAATTCAAATCAATGATCTTTATCAAATCGTGTGATCATGCCCTTGTTTATAACTCAGGTAAACAATATGCACACTAATTGAGTATTTGACATATTAAAATCATATTTTTTGTACACTTTTTTTACATTACAACTGTATATATAATCTGTATTACTTCATTCCGTGATGCAGTTCTTAAGTAAACATTTCAATATACCAGTGTATGATAGACTTGAGGAATTAGTTATCATTTTTTCAATAATAATATGTTCTATTGTGTCATTAGTCGGCTAGTAATTATTTGATATGCAGGTGAAGGTTCAAATTAAAACATTCCAAAGATAAATGTACATAATCATCAGTGACGGATTCCGTGGGCGTACAGGGCGTTTACATAAAATTGTTGAAAAAAACTATTACAAATTTTGTAATTTACTACAATTAATAAATAGCGCGCGGCAATGACACACATGACTTTTCGTAGAATCAAATAATCGGGGAAACTTAAAGGGGGAACCGATCATGCATAGAAATATCAAATTTTAAATATAATATTAAATAAACATATATATATAATCACAGGTACGATACGAGATTTTAAAATATCTATAGTCGAGATAAAGCAGTCTTTGGTTAAACATGTTAAACTTGATTTACCATAAATGTCAGTTAATCACCATAACATAGATTATAGAATCGTTATGCAAAATTTTCTTGAGATACAATGTTACTATATATATATAACTTGTATAACAAGTGATAGTCGATATAAAACAGTCTTTGGTTAAACATGTTAAACTTGTTTTACCATTAATGTCAGAAAATCACCATCAAATTGATTATAGAATTGTTCAGAAAAATGTTCTTGAGATACAATGTTACTATATATATAACATGTATCACAAGTGATAGTAAAAAAAAGTCAATCAACTTACTTGTGTTGTAACCGCTATTTCTCCCAAAAACACATGTGACTGTAAAACAATCAACGTAACAGTATGATATCATATGCAATATGCATTATACATGTGTTATTAGTAATTTATGGCCTGATGACACGTTTTTAATACACAACAATTGTTATTGCACACTGTTACCTTTTCTTTATATGTGTGAAGATTGACAAGGTTGTCAACCTAGCTTATCCTGAATCACACCTAACCTCGGATATTGATATTGATCTAAGCATCAGAAGCTGGATTATGGGGCTCTCGAGGGAGTCAAATATAAATAAATTTCATTATCGGCATGTTAATCTATCGCTGCCACCACTGTGATGGTTATTGATTCCCGGTGATGAAAAAATTGCTAAGATTACGTGAATTTCTATCATATAATAAGTCTAATGTACAGAATAATCAATGTTCCTTTCACTTAAGTAGTCAGTGTATGGGGGTCTACAATATAACACTTTCAATCGTTTTAGGGTTGTATACACATTTAAATTGTTTTTTTTTTAACTTTTAAACAATATAAGAAATATAATTACCAATTAGCAATAAGTATATCACATCTAACAACAAATCACTGTATGCATCTTTACAGGAAAAAAATGATTCTGTATATGATACTTATGGAAATGCCAAGTGTAAAGAATTTTCAAAATTATTTTCTTTTTGGAAATTAATCTTTACAATAACATTTAAGGAAGTGTTTGTTGGCCTTTATTTAAATCATTGATAGTTTGTTTCCTGTTTGACATATAACACCCTCTAATAATAAATTAATATGAAAGCTCCTCAAGAACCACTATATTTTATAAGTGTGCATCTTAACATCAAAGTAAAAATGTACTCTTACCATCCATATATTGCTCCATATACATGATATATTACCATGTAAGGTATTGCAAACTGTCAAATCAGAAATATTTGTGTGCCTTTATAACTGCATTTTTTTAAGACTGGACGAAAAAGCGATTATTAATTCACTGCGATTTCAATAAGTGCTTGACACAAATAATGCTATGAAATTTTCAATTTGATTTTTTTTTTTATAATTTTTGTTATCCCTATTCCGTCGCAATTTTCACAATAATAAAAACAGCACAAACATTTTTTAATTGACTGCATTTAGATATAAATATAAACTTACTGGGCATTAATTTGCATATATGATCTAGTTCTGGTAAAAAAAACTTACGAATCAAAATGATGCAATAAAATTTTAATTCATATTTCCTTGTTAAAATTCCCCCACAGATCAGAATAACATCCTTACAGTTCGACTAAATCTTGCAAACACAATCATACTTATATTGTTCTGCATCATGCATCAAATATTCCAACATACAAATTTAATGTGAAAACAAATATAGTCTGATGTAGAAAGGTTAAATATATCGTATGCAGTGCATATAAGGGCTACCAATATCGAGTTTCTTGACTTGGGACAGGCATATGAAAATGCAATTTGGTTATACGAGCGAGTCTTTTGAGTTCTATGTCCAATGGCAGATTCAGGCTTGGTTATAGAAGGACTACACTAGGCCCAACCTTTTTTTTGAATCAGAAAATAGTAATTTTGTTGTCAAATCGGTAAAAACAAATTGCCTTGTTGTGCTTAGCTCTATTTAACATTTTGAATAATTATGCCCCCCTTTTCCTCCAACCCTGAAACCTCATCACTTTCAACCTGAGAGAGTTGCAAATACGAAGAACATTCTAGAATATAAAATAGATATCAGTATAGGAATATATTACTCAATTCTTCAGCACTAATTTCATAGACAAATCCTGGATTATATTTTGAATCCTGAAAATGATGTGAACTAAGAGTTGACATGGTATCCTGGTCATAGCAGGTTTTGTGATAAAAAAAAACATAATTGTCTTTGTTAAACATCCTTTCTATCCCAATGTCCCATTTTTTGTGAGTGTGGAAGTGATGTTTTACATTGGTAGGTAATCAATGATTATTTTTTTAGATAATAAATTTTGTATTTTCCTACACTGAGGTCACAATGTGTAGCATGATTTTTTTAATGTCTATTTCTATAAACAATCATAATTCTTCAAGAGAATCAAAAACTACCAAAAAAAATGAAGATATATTTTTTCAAAGAAATGAAAGTCGTATGTGGGTCTGCAGAATTTAAAACTACCAACACTGTGGACTTCATAAGGGTAGTCTTGCTTCCTCCACCAATACAAACTGGCCATATGGCTCGGGTTGCTAAACGTGGCATGAAACACAAACACACATGAAATGAAGGTCAATCTATTTCAGTGTAGACCTTTGCCGATAAATATGATTCAATAACTCAAAAAGATCATTCCTCTATGATTAGAAGAAGGTTAGATCTACACTTTAACACAATACTTTAAGAAAGCCATTCATGTGTAAAACGAAGTTAAATGTCATCTCATTTTAGTTTATCACTTCATCACTAAACAGGACGTATCTAATAACAATTCATCACTCCTCTAGGACTTGACGTTGCATAGATCATGACACAAAAATGAACTGCAACAGACTACATTCCTTTGCCTTGTGTTTTTTGCTGTGCATAAACTGATTTCTTGTCATGGATGGATACTCCATATTCTTCCTTTTCTATTATACAAAACTAACCAATGAAAATGCTTAATGCCCTCTCAATATTTGTTGGATGAGAGCATGATTGATAGATTGTTAACGTTGGTGTTTAACGCCACATACAGCACGAATGGCAATATCGTGCAAGTCAGTTTTTATTTGTTGGGGAAACCAGTGCCCATAGAGAACCATCAGCCATCGGCAGAAATTTAACAAATCCTAGTACAAAAATTGAGTCCAACGCACCTGACAGGTGTGGGTTTCGAAATCACAATCTCCGTGTTAGGCTAGTGATACAGTATATGATCATAGACACTTGGCCACCTAGGCCCATTGGATGAGAGGATAATAACTATCCTTGTATTTTAGTATCCCCTATGAGTCATAGTATTGGTTCCAATACTATTAGTTATCTGACAAAACAATCTGATTAAGTCAAATTAGTAACTTAGATATATTATTGAATAAAGAACTCCCTCATTAAGATAGTTCAGACTGACCACTGTCTAAGTATAGCCAATTAATTCTTAATTTGAAGTTACTATAATGATTTCAGTGCATGCAATAAATGTCTTTAAGGAGTCTAGGTGACCAAGCGGTTTAAGAAGTTCATCCCAAGTGATTGACTTGCTATTAAACACTGATTTTGTGAGTTTGAACCCTAATCATGTCAGTTCAGTGGTTCTCTCTGGGTTTTCCAGTTTCCTCCATCAATAAAAACAGGTCACCATGATATAGCCAAGGTCATCATGATATAGCCAAGGTCACCATGATATAGCCAAGGTCACCATGATATAGCCAATGTCACAAAAAGTAGTGTTTAACACCAACAATATAACAAACATTTTCCTTAATAATTCTTTAGTATTAAATATTGAAGAAAAGTAAATAATGCATACTCAATGTTGGGAAAGCTCCCATGTTTTATTTCCCTACTCTCACAAATCCAGCTTCTTACAAATAAAAATACATGAAATAAAAAATTCTTAAATAACAACAAAAAAAGAAAATATTTTACAGAACACCATACAAATTATATGGCAAATTGTAAAATTGTCTGCAGGCATGAACACTAAACTTTATATATAAAACAGATTTATACATTCACTTCACTTGAACTTTGGTGGAAAGTTGTCTCATTGGTAACCATACCACATCTCCTTATTTGTATATTACACTATTATATTGCATGTTTGATCCTAATGAAATGCACGTTATAGTATGTTGACAAACACTTTTGACCTCAAATAGAGGAGTTTTTATATCAAAATATTTTCTTATAATTTATTGACGACATAGTACAAAAGTGAAATAATCAAAGTGCTTTTGTATTTTGCAGTGGAAGCTAAAAATTATCGCACTGAATTAAGCGTTGAAAAGTAAATCATTATTATGAGCATGATGAATTGGATATATCAACTACAAAGGTAGATAACTCCAATTTTAAATATTGCTGTAATAATAAATTCATTGGTATTTTTAGAAAAGATACTAGATTAAGGTTTCATGCACAATATATTAATTTATCACGCCCGTATCAACTATAGGCACCAATAAAATGATATAAGTTTTGCTAAAGGGATAATATTGTTTGAGGGTTGATAGTGTGTGATATTGAAAAAAAAAAACATATTATAAATATGATAAACCATATTTCCCAAATATAAGATAATATTTATTTTATGTTTTACTTAAAACAGATGTTTTTCTGTTGGGGCTTGATAAAGCATGTGCAACAGTGACTGATATCAATATCATCGCGAACAGCAGATACAGAATGGTGTACTGTATTCTGTTACATTTTCATTACATTGGAAAATTTTAGTTGGATAAATACTAAGTTACTTTTACTTTATTGTATTTAACAGTATAACATGGATAAAAAATATTTAGAATTAAAAAAAAAATGCTATCTTAAGTTAACACGAAGCATTATAAAGCAGATGCCACTTCATTTAAACAGATAGCCTGCATCTTAAGGTACTGTCATCTGTGATTTAAGTAATGTGTTTGTGTCCAACAACATAAACAATGTTTTATACAGCCTTACACAATTGTTTAAATTACATGAACAGTAAAAATACCCTTATTTTTGGAATACCAATTCTTGTGAATGCTTTAATTTGGAGTAAATTATGTAACACAAAATTTAAGAATCTGACAAAATACACGCTTTAACATGATTACATGTATATGTGTGCAAAGTACATTGAAAAATATGTAAATTCACCACCAAAATTGAAATTTAAATTTCTTAATCAAAGTATCTTGACAGTGCATAAGTTTGAAACGCCTAAAAGTGTAAAGCTAATTTGATTTTTGTTTATCTGTAAAAAATTAGTATTTATTTATTATCTAATTTCAAAAGAGTTAGCACATGTATATAAATTAAAGTAAATCATAAAAAATAAGTTAAAGTCTTAATATAAATATCAATATATAAGATATGTCATACAAAAAGAAAGCTTAACCTTAACATTTACAATACTGTGGATTCGTTTATTTTGGTGGGTACCAATTTTCGTGGATGAAGGAATAATTGTATTTTCGTGGATATTTTATGCTTTTGCCAAAGTATGCATACAAGTCTAAAGTAAATGTGGTGTATTTCATTGAACATTCAAATTGGTGGTTTACTTATCACCACGAAATCAACAAAAATTGGTATTCCACGAATAATAATGAATCCACAGTAATCTACTATATACTTCTTAGGCATTGCTTAACAACCATGGCTTTAGAAACATCTTTGCTTGATTGACAAAGTGGGAACCAATTAACTCTTTCTCCAATTTGTATTGATATCTCCAATATATATACATTGTAATGTTCAGCATATATTATAACATTTGTAGGAGATTTGGTATGATTGCGAATGAGACAACTATCCACCACAAATGAAAGAACAGGGGTTTAAACCATCAAGTCAATGTTTTTCTACAGGAAAACCCCAAAATTCATTTGATCACAACATAAGATAAAAAGTACAACCTACATGCTCTTTTAAATGAG